GGGGGCTCTGAAAAGTCTGCTCTTTTCTCCTACAACACAACCCCCTGCCCCAGCTCCTCCATCGCCTCCATCTCCTCTATATCCTCCTCCAACTGGAGCCACTGGCCACGCACGAAAGTTGTTATCACTGCCACAGTTAGACACTGAGACAGTCCCCGACTGCTACTGTTACCCACTAGACAGATATCGTCATGGAAGGGGCTGGATGGGCACTGGAAAAAATAAGTATTTCTGATAAATATTTAAGCTAAATATGAATGGAACTATATATATATATAAACCTAAAAATCAACTAGAATTTCCTTATTTAAAATACATTAAAATCAGAACATGAATATATATCTATATTAGAAATTTCAGAAACAAAATTTTCTAATATGTAGTATATATATATAGATTTTTTTCTTTAGGTGAACACCCAGAAAAGGGAGTAGTAAACTCTGGCTCTATTGGTCAGCAGGGGCTCAGCTTCAGCTTCCTTTGCCGCTGAGCAATCCTGCAGGCATTTAGGAATATCGTTTGCTTTTGTCTTGCCTTGTTTTTTGTGTGCTGGCACTTTATGGTGCTTTTAGTATTTGCTGCCGTGCCGTCTCCCTCACTTAATGTTTGCTTTTAATTATCAAATCAGCACATGATCATTACACCGACGACAATGGCGACAATTATCTCCGAGATAACGATGATTATAATGATGATGTGGCTGCCTGGGCGATGCTGCCAGGCAAAGCAAGCCTTTCCCCCAAGGCCTTAAATTAAATATTTTATTTGAACAATTTTTATGCATAACCACTTGTTGAAAAGGCAAATATTATTGTTTGCCCATAAAAACGAAGGAAATGGAAGTTCATTTCTTAAATTTCAAGGTAAACAAATTTTGGGTGATTCACTTTTCAATTTTGGAACCAAGCCTAATGCCTATGACTTCCGTTTCCGCATTACAAATTCGTACACTTTTGCTAACCGAGTCTCTTTTTAGCCATTTTTTTCTCTTCTCTTCGATAAATCAGCCAATGAAGTACTTCGTTGCTATCGCTCAGATCCGATTTATCCCATCCCAATCCATTTCATTCCACCGCCGTCTGTTTTCCTTTCACCTTTCGAATTCAATTAACTGCAGCCAAATGCTAGAGACAATCTACCAAATTCGTTAAGCAAATGGAAAAGCGTGGGAGAGATGTTTTTTAAGTCCCCTGAGTTCCACAAACAAATATTTACCATCAACATTTTTGCACGCTAATTTCCTCTGCAAATTTTTTGGAACTCTGACATCACGCTCGCAACGCATAAAGATGGGGGGTTGACGGAAAGATACATAGATGTTTTTAAAATGAAATAAAAAGACACGAAACTGTTGCAGTTCAGTAGACATACACACTGTCTCCTCTGCAGGAGGGAGTGCTGAAATTTCGTCACATATTTTTGCGTAAATTGCCGGAAAATCGCAAATCATTGAAGATAAACATCCAAGTCAAGAAATGAACAGAAGCCAGGAGGAAAGTCGTGGACAGGCAGGCGGGTGGAAAAGTCGCGGGGGAAAAAGCGGGAACAGGCGCTGAACCAAATATCGAACAATGTTAAGCAAACACTCACTCAAACACACAGCCAAACAGAAATTCGGCAAGTTGTGTGCAAGGCGAAGGCGAAAGGCAGTCTCCCAAAAAAAAAAAAAAAACCGGGACGGGAAAACATTTGAGGTACACAGAGGGAAAAATGGGAACTTGAAAACACATAATTTCTTAGGAATTTCTAAACGAAGATATACTTTCAATCAGTGAATTTATGTTTAAAGAAGTTTCTGGGAATATTTGGTTATGACATTCGCTTGTCAATTATTTGGTTTTCCATGAAAAACTTGAGCAGCAAATGTTGAAGATTGAAGATAATTTCCATAACCTTCTTTAGTAATAAAAATATTTCTACCCTTAAGACTTAACCAAAAATATTTCAATTTTTAAATAGATTTTTCTTCAAGTGTCAGAGGCTTAGCTTTGCGGTCGCTGTCTGTCGACGAGCCTTTCGATGGCAATAAAATCGGGGCTGGGAAATGGGCGCAGAGTGCATTGAAGATATAGACGGATATAGACTAGACAGAGGGCAAAAAGCAGAGGGCAGAAACGTTTTCGCAACGCTTGAATTGCCAGCAAAGTGGGGGGAGTTATTCGTGGGGGAAAACGGCTGGGAAATCGGAGGGGAAAACACGTGGGGGGAGCTCCAGCTTCAGCTGCAACCAGCACAAGCGATGCTGTCGCTGGCGTTGCAGTTTCCGCATCGCAATTCGCGATGGCTTTCCACGCATTTCCCACTCGCTGAAGCTCACTTTGCTGCTGTTCCGAGAAAAGCTGCAGCATGCATCGCTTCTGATGGGAATATAAATATTTATAAAACCCAGTGGAAGAAACGCGATTATGTGGCAACCTTGACTGGATCAAAACCAGCCCCAAGTTCAGATTTAAGTCTGATTATAATGTTTTCTAAACATGAAAATCGCTCTTAAAGTTGGCTGCTTAAATTTTCCATTTCTATTTGGAGAAGCATCCTTGTCAGTCTTAGTTTTATTTTTCTTTTTCCAGCTCTCAAGATACTCCATCCCATTCTAAAATCCGTCTCCAGTTACGACTTCAGTCGGCGTATCTAATCAATTTCAAGCAATATTTGGCCACCTTGAAGCGGGATTGAACCCGAGCTTGAGCTGGCAATTTGTATTTGGTCGCTGGCTCCGCTCCCTTCCAGCTGATTTCACTTGAATTGCAGCCAGATTCCCGATTCCTCGGCGGCGTCTGCTCTTTGGTCTCCCGCCTTTAGTTCCTGGTTCCTCAGCTCCCAGACCTTGCCCATTAAATTGAATTTAGTTTGATTGCATTTGATTGTAGCTTATCAGCAGAGATTTATGCTTCGTTAAGCTTGCAGAGCTATTGAGCAGGCGCATTTGCATAGGGCTCAACAGTTTTTAATTAAGCCCGATGCGTGTGCGTTATAAATAGCTAAAAGACCTTGGGCCTGGGCCCCAGCCACCCGGCCAACTGATGATGACTACTGCGCTGCTGCTCCTCCTTGGCGTTTTCTCGGCGGCTTAAAGTGCGCACTCATTTGGCCATTAGGCGGGAAGGAGCAACTGCTGCTGCTGCAGCGCTAGAAAACTCTCACTTTGGTCTATTAATGATGATTCGCACGGCACAAGCCCGAACTGGGGCCTGCAGCCAAGCCACAATTAACCCGCTAAATTGCCAGAGTTCAGGCCTTTTAAATATATTTATCAAAAGAGATGGAAATATGAGGGGAAAGTTGGTTAGAAACTATAAAATAATATAAAGGATTGGGGGGATAATTATAAAAAATGTTCGGATTTTAACTGAAAATAATCCTTAAACTTTAACAACAAAAATTATGCTTAAATAATATTTGTAAAATAAAATAAACTCCTTGTAGTATTTTAAAATATATCTCTTTAGGGGTTTTTAGTAAATTTTTAGTTAAATATTTTATATTTAGTTTCTAAAGACCCCTCCTGAGTCCAAGGGTTAAGCTGAGACCAATTCCCGCCAAGTTGAAATATCATCAAGTTGGATAGAAATGATGCCGCGTTAATTGCGGCGGCCTCCAAGGCAAATGCAATTTTGCCTTCACTTTGCTCGTTGAGGCGTTAAGCTGACAGTTGGCCACCTGGCCCCCCCCATTCCAGCTTACCCCTTGCACCTTTCACCCCCCCTTTCACCTGCCGCCGACTGCAGCTACCTGTGCTTATCATTTCTGGCCTGGCCCTGACGCGTGATGCGTTTTGATAATTGCATGCCCGGGTAAAAGGGCTGTTAAATAATATACATTTGGCAATATATATATTTATATATTATATGTACTATACAGTAGCAGCGGCAGCACGACTCTCGCCTCGCTGCACAATTAAAAGCTGTCAAAATTTCACTTTGGTAGCCCGTGTCCCCGGAATCCTCTCCCCTTTCGCCTCGGCCCTTGCTTTTGCCATTGTTTCCCGCCATTATCATCAACGCCCATTGCATTTTGATTGTCTTTGCACAATCCAGCGCCAATTTTAAAATCATTTTCACACACGACTGCATCGCACCTCGGCCCGGAAATGTTTACGGCCAAAGAAATCAACGCTCTGCAATACGCCCACGCACCCGCACCCGCAGAGCGATAATGAAGTTTTCCCCCTCACCCCACCCATCGACCGTCCGCTTCCGATTTACCCCCTCGATATAGCCCCGATTTACCTCTGCATTCCCCAGCGGAATTTCCCGCCTCCACGCCCAATCGATCCGATAGGCACGCAGCAGCGCAGCGTTTGTTTATCTGCAAAGCGACCGATGCAAATTCAACTGGAGGTATAAATAGAAATAAAATAAAGTACAGTGAAGCGTGGGTAAAGGGAACTTGAAATGAAATTAATAAAATTCCATTTTTGTTTTCATTTTATATCTATCTTTTATTATTTCGGGTTTCCCCATTATAAATATATATATAAATTTATATTATAAATATATAAATATATATTTAATATATAATACATATATAATTTTTTGAGGCGTTGTGTTGATTGTTCTTAGGATTATTGGTTCTTTAGATTTATAACTAAATAGAGACTATATTCTTATAATAAAAATATAATGAAATCAATTTAAGAAAATAAAAAGAAATTGCATTATAATTTTATTAATATTTTAAGTACTTGTTAAAGATTCATTTCTCTTTCATTTTAAAACATTAAAATAAGGGTTATTCCACACCCTTCCTCAACACTTTCATCTCAAATTCCAATTGGTTCACCTTATCATGTCTAGACTGTAAATAAAATAAATTCGTGCATTGCATGGCTGCTTAATTGCGCGCAACTTTCAGTCGCTAAATTAAACGTAAAGATTGCAATTTGCAATTGTTGTGTGAGCACTAAATAACGTGCCGCGCGATGCCAAAAATTCAAATATCGTCCGACTGCGAAGCACTCAACACTAATAAGATAACAATTTATTTATGTTTACTTGCAGCCAAAGGCAGAGAAGGCATAAACCCAACATAAACGAAGCCGGGCAAGTGCGAAAGACACCGAGATTCAGCAGGTGAGATAAAGCCAGAGTTTTGAATCTCTCAATATTCTCCACGTATTTATTTGCATGGCTCGTCGAGTCAAATTTAATCAGTTTTATTGTATTTGCTCTTTTGAGACTTTTTCGCTTGTTTTGGCTATTTTGTGTGCCGCCGTCAAACAGATTTGGATTTGCAATCAAATATTTATTTATTCCTTCCGTTAAAGATTCAAACTGGATCAATAGTTGCTCACCAAGCTTGTTTGTCGGCCTTCGAATGAGTGTTTTTTTTTTTTTAATTTAATAACTCCGAACTTTGCAAATCAGTTGTTGAACTTCCAAGGCCTGTCATATTCACAGAGAATTATTATGAAAATTGCATTAGAAAGTTTGAATTTATGTTGATATTTTTGTAAAGTAAAATCAAGTTCAGTTTTAATTTCAATGATTTAATACTTCAAAGTATTTTATACATTTAGGAAGTCATAATGATTTAATTTCCTCCGCAAGGCATTGACAGTTAAATTTATGCTTTCCTTTTCCTTTGAATATATTTTATACGAAAGAGTTCACTCACTCTTCGTTATCTTGTTAGTTTGTTTTATTTATAACAACAATTAATGCAATGCCAGCTATTTTTGGTTTGGCCTTGGCTTTCTTTAATTAACGTCAGCGTTGCAGGGATATATCAGGCATCTGTCATTAATAATTGCCAAAGAACTCCAAGACTCTTGGACAAACACACAAGACGCATTTGAAGTGGCCGCCAACCTCGAAAGTTTGCGATGCGGTCAGCGGAGAATCGCTTTGCCCACACACACATACAAATAATTATCGCTTAATAGTCAAACCTCGGTGTAGAAAGAGGGGGTATGGGTGGGGAGCGGATACCGCAAGGCCAATCAAAGCGTCATTGAAACGGAAACGGAAACTGCAAGTCAAATGGCAGTCGGCCACAGGAAATGAGGCGCACAAGCGCCAAAGAAGAGTGCGTGAGTGGGGGAGCGAAGAGAGTGACCGCACTCAATACTACTCGGCGACCGCAAATTAACGCGAATTCCACATCGCCACTTCTTTGGCTGTGATTCTGATGAATTATTAAACGAGTGTCCGTTGCAGAAGCATCTCGGTCGTCATCATCAGCATCTTGAGCCAGCCTCCTCCACCTCCTTGGCCAAGAGTGACCAAGGCAACGTTTGTCAACGTCCCCGGGGCTCCTCCGGTTCTCTGGCGCCGCCTGAATGAGCGCTCAAATGAACACCGCAATGAATGTGCGCCGCATGACAAATACGTAAAGTTTCTTTTGAAATTAAGCAGCATTTGCTGCCAATTCTTAACTACATCAGCGCAGAGCAAACTTTGTCCTCTCACCCGCTCGGTAACCCATCGTCGAGTAGTTTTTCCTCTGGCTTCCGTTGGTTAGTTTTTCCTGTGTGAAGCCGAGAACAGAGAAAAAAGTTTGGAAATTTTGGATATTTTTGTCTTTGTTTAATATAACAATAATGGTAATAAATCCTACATGTTTTTATTATTTGCTTCGTAATTATTTCCGTTGATTTCTAAACTTTTTAAAGCAAAATAAATTTGTAAAAAACATCCTAATTTTTTTAACTGTGCCTCAGCGGCAAAGAGGAGCTTGCTCATTTCAAACTTTTGACACAGAAACTAATTTTGGCAAGCGGGCGTCAGGCAGCCAACCGAGACGACGGCCAAGAAGGAAAAGTCTGAGTCGGAGATGAAGATGGAGATGTTGGGGGAAATGGAGCTGCCTACGGTTGAGGGGAAACCTCAAAGCTGCAGGCGGCCCTGGCTTTTCCACTGGGTAACCACTCGCCCCTTCCCCCCATCCCTTTTGGTGGCTTTTCATTCTTTTAGTGATTGCAATATTTCATTGCCTTTGCGGTTCGTGTGTTGCATACTTTTGAGCAATGTCGCTGAGGTTTCGCCTTAATTAATTGCCGCCACTAACCCACTTCGTCGTTGCTTTTAATCCGCGAATTTTCACCAGCTGCATTTTTCACAAGTGCTCGGCATTGGAATGAGCGGCATTTGCCTTTGAATGGGGCTTTAATTGTCATTTGATTTGATTTATACTGGAAGAGCTCTCTGGTGTCTGCTTATCATGTCGTGTACTGTACGCACCAGGGCAAAATTAACGCTGAGCTGGAAAGTCCGCGCCGAGCTGTCAAATCAAACTTGTCCCCGTCAGCTGATTTATGACGTTTTGATTGGGCGATAAGTGTCTCCACCTCCTCCTCTGTCTGTCTGTCTATTGTTGTGACACTGCATTTCGGGACTGTGGTTTCAGCCAGGCTTTAAGGATGCACTGACTTCCAATTCAATTCAATTTACAATCCCTGGCCACTTCAGTCTGTGCCTCCATCTTCGTCCTCGTCCTCGTCCTCGTCCAGAGAGCTCTCCTTAATATGTTTCAATTTCATTGTGAACTCGGCAAAGCCCCTGACTCTCTGCCCCACCTGTGCATACGGGATGTGCAGCTAGATGGAGAGGAAAATTTGTACAAATATCCCAGGAAAATAAGCCATTAAACGAGGCCGAAAAGTGGGCATTGAATGTTTGCCCATCATAAATTGGCAAAAATTGCCTGAAAAGTGCACCTGAAGAAATGTGCAAAAAAATAGTCTTCGGTGAAGTCGAAAAAGCAAAAGTTGATTAAAGCTTCTGAGTTAAGCGGTTTGGTATTTAAGAAAAGTTTTACATAAATTTTGGAATTGGAATTGGAATTACTTTGAATTTTTTAACAGCTTTGATTTATTTTCTAGCAAGTAAATTTATTGAACTTTTTAAAAATCAAGCATTAAGAATATTTATAAGCTTGTTGATAGTAATAAAAACTGTTTAAGCCGCCCCTAAGACTACATTTCGTATTATTTAATTCATATAAAAAATTCTAAAATTAATTATTTATGAATTATTTGTTATTTATATTGTAAGTTAACGATTTAAAAAATAATTTTGAAGACTAAATTGTAGAAAAACGTAAACTTATTAAATATTTTTACATTTATTTATTGTTTTACAAGAAATTAAATTATTATATATAATTTTTTCTTTGAGCTTTCTTTTAATTAGAGTTTTAAATGCATTTAAATAATTATTGTTTCTAATTATTTAAATGAAAGTAAATATAGTATATTTTCATATTCCTATCACAGGCCATTTACTCCATATTTTTCTCCTCCAGTGTTCCCAAGATAGAATTTTAATGGGGAAAACTGCTGCTGATGTTGCCGTGTCAATTACACGGCTAAAATGTTCACACCTTGCGTTAATAATGCAACTGCGAAATTGAAATGCATCCAACAGATACAGATCCAAGCGCAGATACACAGAGACACAGAGATGGCCGAAGAAGTGGTCCAAAGAGCCCAAGCTGATTGCATTTCATTTTCAATTTAACTTACTTTAATTTCGACTGCTTTCGCTTCTGGTAATGCTGCCGTTCGAGCTGCTCCCGGTTTTTGCAATTACCATCGGAGGGCAGACAACAGTTGGAATTACATTTTCAATATTTCCCAGCAGCAAAAGCAACAGCAGCAGCATCATTTTTTTATATAGCCCACTCCGCTAGATTCTTCTGCACTACGGCCATACATTTTTAACTACAAGCTCTTGAATGCAATTACTTTTCAATCTTTTTTTTTATTTTTCTCTCCAGCCCCATCTTGTCTAGTTCATATCTATATAGTATCTATATATAAAAAGCAGCGCCATAGTTGAACGCGAAAATTGCTTATTTCAACATTCAACTTGCAAAAGTTTCGTTTCGTCTCGTTAGCTTTAAGGGAAAAAGCTAAAGTTTGCCATAATTCTGCCAGAGGTCTATCACTTTCTTGCCACCTCGCTTGAATTTCTTTTATTTTTGTTCGCCGTCCGCCCTTCTTCTATTTATTTTAGCTCGGAATACAGAAAAACTAGGTTGAACTTTGTTTTATTTGATCAAGAATTTGACATGATGGTTTATGCAAAGGCAGGGGGAATGTGAAAATGTGAAAATGCGAAAAAACTTGCCATAAAATCTATGCGACATTTTCCATTCCATTTTACCCCGAGTGCACTTTTGCCCCGCTGCCCTCCACCACTGACAAGGCAGTTATGAAAGTTGATCTCGACGGTTCTCTGGCAAGTCATTTTCCAGGAAAAAAAAATGGGAGTGAAAGGATTAGCTGAATAAATTGTGAGACCAATAAAAATAATAGCAAAATTTTCAATGAAAATATGTTATTAAAAATTTTTAAAATCTGTTCTGGACTTAATTCTATGGCTTATAATTAATTCAATCAGCAAGCTCCACTTTATTTAAATTAAATATTTTTAAAGAAATTTAACCATTTAGTTTAAGAAAATTCTTACTCCTCGTGACCAGCTTTCTTTTCCGCTGTGCAAATTTAAAATATTCATGGCTGAAATCGATACTTATCTGCCGTCTTTCTCGGAGATCATTAATGAATCCTTGAAGGCGGAGCAGCTGTGTCCGCTCGCTAATCCTGCTCGGCTGGCATCCTTCCTTGCAGTTTACCCTTTCCTCGCCATGACTGTGCATGCTCATCGAACATTTTCAGCTGCTTGGGAAAATACGTTGTGTAATGTCACTTAATCTTTTTATACGCGCCAGTTGAGTTGAACATCTCCTCGTTTTCTTTTTTGCAAATTGCCAGGGCGGCCGCGTGGGCGGATTAGTGGAACGGATTAAGAATGAAAGTGTTTGCAAAATACGAAAACTTTATGGCGGACGGCAGATTAAGAATGAATTGTTTTTTATTACGCCACCCGCCGGGCATAAGTCAAAAGGGCAGGTAGGTCTCAGGTAGTATGGGTTCTAGGGGTACCAAAAAAGTAGGGATCGCTGGAGGACAGGTAGCCGTACCGAGCTCTAGGGTGTATAAAAAGCAGTTGCAGCACTGGAAGAGGCATCAAACGATCAGCAAACGTTGAACAAGGAACATTAAAATATTATATTCGGAAATTATAAGCTATTTGGAATATAAGAAACACCAAGGAGCTGTTCAAGTTCAAATCTTGAAGGATTCAAAATATTTGAAGGATTCTGAACATTAATTTTCTGACCAAACAATGCCTCGCTACCAGAAGCTCATCAACGAAGAGGACAACATGCCATCAACATCATCATCATCATCCAGTTTTCAAGAGCAGCAGCCACATCGCTTCCAGCGGCACCAGAAACCCAGCGTGGGCTATCACCTGTACCTTTACCGCCAGCAACTCGCCCAGCGAAATGTGGAGTACATCCGGCTGTCCAAGGCCAAGTACTGCATCACGGACACCCTGCTCTCCAAGACGGTGAGGAACCTCAAGGGCTGCAGCATCGACGAGCTGAAGACGGTGAACAACCAGATTGTGTTCCGGCACAAGCTGAAGCATCAGATCCTGCGCCTCCGCAAGCTGAAGAGCCTGGGCATCAAGAATGCCAATCCCAAAATGGAGAGCACCGACCTGTGAGACGAAGAGATCCCGTAAAAAAGTCATCTCTGTCTATGATTTAGGCATAGGCTCGAGAAAGACTTGATTGTGGTTTAGTTAATACATTTAAAATTGTAAATCTACAAGAATTTCAATTTACATTTTTACTAATTGAGATGTTTGCAATACATTCCATAAATAGTTTAAGTGGCGGGCACTGCAAAAATCATACTTACTTTAATATTAATCCATTAAACTACTTTTTAAGCTAGACTTGAAGTTAATAAATAGGATAATAAATAGAAAAAATAATTAATAAAATCAAAATCAAAATGAAGTACTTTTCGGATTTATAAATCTTTCCTAGTTCAGTTTCTCAGTTAAATAATCTCTCCTGAATACTAACTGATAAGTAAAGCTCAAAACACACACAGTCTTCGATTTTCGATTAATCAAGAATGTCATATCTTCAGTGTCATTATTTTGACCACAGCTGTAAATATTATTTTTGGCCTGTCACAATCCGGAGGAGAAATGAATGGAGACACCACGAACATCTGTGTGGACAGAAGGCAACCTCAATGTAACTATCTGTTGAGGCCAATTTGTGGCATTCACTAATTGAGTTCTCTGTGCAGCATCTTGACACGTGTCAAGACAGCTCATCCTGGCCCGCATTTTGGTCCTTATCTCGGCCACAATTCATTAGGAATTTATGAGTATTTCGGGTGCAAGCGCACTTTTTTTCAAACAAGGAAAGTGGCAGGGGAATCACCATTTAATTGAAAAATAATTTTCACAAAGTGCTTTACACTTAACTTAACACCAACATCATTATTTTCACTCAAATAATATTAATAAATGCTGGACCCGTCGCCTTGCCATGCGGCATAATAAATAAATGGCGCACATAATGCGGCCAGTAAGTCAATTTTATTATCGAAATGGGTTGCGATGTTCAAACAGAAACCTCAGCCAAAGTGAATGTGAGTGTTAACAATTAAAACACACACACACAGTGTACAGTATGCCGGGCTTGTTTTACATATGCTCGCAATTATGCAGTGTGTGGGCGATGCAATTTGCAAACACTCAAAAGTATGCTATGAAAAATGTCCGCCCGCACATTAAATTTTCCACACAATCAATTTCCTTGCCAAAGGAAAATCCCAACTGCAGCCCGGCCAAGCCTCTCTGCCATATGTTATTTAATTTTCTATAAAATTTATTTATTTATCGCCGCTTAATCGTTCAGACTTCCCGTCGCCTGTCGATTTAAATCAATTTTCCCTCTCGACTTCTAGGCACACAAAACTTAAAGCGGCAGCCGTCGATTAGTGCGCTTCATGATGAGCATCATTTTCATTATGTTTATTAGGGGAACCGCCGGGGCAACGCCTGCGTTCTCGAGTTAATGCAATAAATAAAATTTCAACTGCACCGCCGGGCATGTTTAGCCGCATGAAAAGCGACAGTAAGCCGGGCCTGCATAAGAAGTTGCCTGTTTATCTTGGCCCGGTCTTTGCCTTTTGTTTATCCTGGTGTTCACTTCGGGCCCGGGTCCAGGTCCTGCCCAGGTCCTGTTCCCCAGCAGCTGTCCCCAGACCCGAATGGGTTACCCAGAGCCGCCTCCCGTCATCATCTCATCTGTGGCACAGGAAGAAAAAAGGTGCAATGATGTGGATTTAGATGGATAAATATATTTTTATCTATTCAAGAATTTATATCAACATGAAATATATGTAGGATATTTATTGGTTTTATATTTTTCTAAATTTTATTAAACCATTTAAGTAACTAGTTTTTTGTTTAGATTTTTTTCTCCGTGCCCCTTTTTCCTGTCGCAGGCTGCTTTCTTTCAAAAAGTTGCCTTCCGTGCCGGCCTTGTTGTTGGCCTTGTTGTCGGCTTGGCTTTGGCCCGTTTGGTTAGCGCAGTCGCTTGGCTGCCTGCTTGGCCAACTGCCCTAATGAGTTTACAAAAAGTTTTGCTTTAACAAAATGCGAGGGGCAGAGCGATGTGGGACAGTGGAAGTTGGCAGGAACTGCCCAGCATGTTATACAAATTGCAGGGACAGGAGCACGAGCAGGAGCAGCAGGCCAGGACAAAACTGTCATCAACGTCGAGTCCTGTGTCTCCCTGTCCAGTGGTTGCATGTGGAGGATGTTGCTGCTGCTGCTGCTGTTGCTGTGCGACTTAGACTGCCATTTGTTTACCTATCCTGGCATGTTGCATTGTTGCCTGTTACTTGGCGTCTAAGCGAAAGTTTTCGCATTTATGTTGCTGCCGGCAGTGGAATATGCATTTTAATTAGTTTAGCAAACTTGTGTGCACAACTCGGGGCAGACACAGTCTCATTCTGCGTCGGCGTCTGGTTAATTGCGCAAATTTAATGGCTGCTGGTGCAGCAGCAGCAACCCCATGCACTTTAAGGCAACTTGGGAAAGTTTGCCCCGCCGCCTTCAGCCTACAAGCAAATGTAGCACAAGAGTTGTTAACATTTCACATTTCACTAAGTAGCAAATTCAATTAGTTTGTCTCCGTCGTCGTCTGCCCCTCGAAGAGCCATGTGAACGTTTTACTAAATTACTTTAATGCCCAAAAGTTCCCTGCCTTTCGCTTCGCTTCCTTTGCCTTTTGGTTTCGCAATTTATGTCTGTCGTAATTTACTTAACTGTCTGGTGCATAAATTAATTTGTCTAAGCATAAATCTGCCGACTGTTGGGCGCTGTGCACTGCATTGTGGCCGAAACGAGCTGCCAACTGATGGCCGGAAAGATAGCTCATTAGGTTTTTCAATAAATTTAATTCAATATAAATAGAGTGCCGGCTCAGACGGGTTTCGCTCTCCCCTGCTCCTGCTGCAAGTCCTGCTCCACTTTTCCTGCCCCGTCAGCCGTCAGCCACTTCATCTTCGTCGGCGCATCCGTCGGGTTCTTTTGGCAACCGCCTGTGGCAGCTGCAGCAGGAGCAGGAGCTGGAGTTGGAGCGGGAGCAGAAGCCTGAGCTGGTGCAGGAAGCAGCATCAAAGTTGCACACGTCGCCATCAGCCAGGACTTAAGGCAGCTGATGTTCATGCTCAGGACGAGGCGGTTCCTTCCACTGCAACGCTCAACGGGCGCTGGAAATGGGGTGATTTCACTAGCAAAAATAGAATAAAATATGTAAAAGATACAAGGATTTGGGGTATATTTCTAGTAGGAAGTCTTTAAGATATGAAATTATTTTTGTCTGCAAATATAAATTAAATGTAGAATCCTTCGGGAAATTAACCTAAAAACACCTGACCTCTTTGTGTTCTGCAAAGAATAAATAAATTATATTGCAAAATAAACAACCTTTACATTTTCAAGGTTTTTCTTCAGTGTTCCTTTCTGTTTTATAGATCCTTTTTTTAGTGTCTGCTCTTCCCGCTCAATTTTATGTTCCTTAACCTGAGCCGAGCTTAGCCGAGCGTTTGCAACGCGTAAATTTGGCGCTCCAAAGCGGTGATTATGTCGTCTTCTCCCCAGTTTTCCCTGCTGTTTCAAGCTCCCTGATGCTTCCTCTCGCAGCTCATCCCCACCTTCCTGGCCAATTTTTCTTAGCTGACTGCAGTAGTGGCGGTGGTGCCGTTGTCGGCGACGTCATCACTTGAATAAATTAAGTCGCCGGCAAACAGCTAAATGAAATTGTTAATTTAGAGCTGCACAACGGAGCGTATGCTTGATGCGTCTGTGTGCTGGTTGCCAGCGAGTTACCTGCGTGTTACCTGAGCAACCGGAGCTGCTGCTGCTGCTGCTGCTGCTGCCGGCTGGATGTCTGATGTCTAACTAATCCGCTTATGGCATGATCCCAATCCAACGGCCAGCACATGCCCGCATCAATGAAATATACACACATATATATTTTTTCCCGGAGCTCTTTTGTCTCTGCAGCTGCAGCTGTAATTGCATTTTAAATGTTTTTTCTAGGGATTGTATATCGAAATGGAAAATTCTATATGATATGATATTAAATATCGTTTTAAAATTATAATTTTTAATACAAATAGAACATATTGTAAAGTTTTGAATTAATTTAGTTACAAATATCGATAAAATATCGAACCAAATTATAGTACTTAAAAAGTTTATATAACTCCAGGTCTTCTTAAAAATAAGCAATTATAAAAACTTTAATATAATTCAATTAGATACCCCAAATGGCTAAAATATACTTTAAAATATTAACATCGATATACAAATAAAGCCCATGCATCGATACGACAAGTTTTACTTAAATTACTAAGAAGTATCGATAAAATATCGAACAATACCTTTTAAGAATCGAATTATTGTTCATATAAAAATTTAAATTTAATTTATAATTATTCCCAAATGACTGAAATATTTTTCACTTCGATGTACAAATAAAATACCTGCATCGATACAACAAGATTAACTTAAATTACTAAGAAATATCGATAAAATATCGAATCGAATTATAGTTCATAATAATTTTCTAGCTTCTATAGAAATTTTAATTTAATTTATATAGATCCCCAAATGACTGAAATATCTTTCACTTCAAAATACAAATAAAATATCGATACAACAAATCTTAAATTACTAAGAAATATCGATAAAATATCGAACAACTTGTATAACTCCAACTGTTCTTAAAAATTGTTATTTATACAAATTTAAATTTAATTTAATCAGATTCCCAAATGACTGAAATATTTTTTAATTCGATATACAATATGCAGGTATTTGCATCGATACAACAACTTAATATCGTCATTTCGATGCATTTACCCATCTCTACGCTTGTCCAACCGGCAAATGGACCAATGATCACTCGAATTTATATTAAACTTTAACCCTCAGTCACTTAATTAGCCCGACTGCAAGTGCAACTGCAGTTTCGATTGGGCGTTAACTACTTTTTCATATGACCATCAATCTGCGGCATGGCCAAGTTTTCTGGGTGGCTTGAAACCGACACCTAACTGCCCGGGGCCAAGACAATAACAAAAAGCGAAAACGAAAGCGAGAACGAGAATGAAAAAGGGGGGCGAGGGTAAAAACTTACCCCGAGTCAACTTGAAAATATATTGAAAAATGCAGTAGTTCGTTTTTTTCTCTTCGTAGAGTTTCTCTCTCTCTGGCTAGCAAAGTTTTGTGCAACTTGGCTGCGTCTTCCCTTTGCCTAAACTGACGTAAATTTATAATGACAAATTGCATTTGGCGCAAATGCGGCGAATAAAAAAAGAAATATAAAAAAAAAAACGCTCAGCAAAGGTAGCCAATTGAGCGTGAAAAATTATGAAGCTGCAAAGAAAAGATACTCGCTAAAGGCCAGCCAGCAAAGAGACAATTCAAGTGCTTAATTACAACATAAATCCGCTTAAATGTAAATTCTTTTCTTTGATTGCTGCTTAAGCCAGGTGAAAAATGAATGGAGTGCAGCGTCTGAAGAAGAAGTCGCAGACAAAAGTGAAAGACTTTCACAAGCCAACAAAGGCAATCAATAGAATGGAGATTACGCCTTTATAATGGCAAGATAAATATATTTGCAAATAAAAGAAACAAACAATACAAACTAAAGTCAGAAATCAATTCTGGAATTTGTATTTACTCAACGCCCACGCGGCGTATGAGCATTATTTGCAGAAAATGCACCTCCCCTCGCATATTTACCATTTCCAAACCCCACCCCTGCCATCAGTCAAACCGGGAACAAACAAAAGTTAAATTCAACCCTGCCCCCGCCGAATCCCGCTCATGTTGCTGCTGCTCCTGTTCATGTTGGCCCGTTGTGTTGCCGCTGCTGTTGGTTCTGCGATACTTTGCCCATGGGCGCCACCGCGTCCAGCGATAAAGCAAAAAATGACACGTTTTTAATTTTACTTCACACCTACACAAGAGCCAGAACAACAACAAGGAGCTGCTGCCATGTAATCAAAACTGCAAGAGAGCAACAGTCACAACAGCAACAGCAACAATTGCTGGCTGGTGACAACAATGCAGCGACACAAAACACGCTGAAGGGAAGTTGAAGGCGAGCCAGAGAGCCAGAGAAAAATTAGATTTATCACGAGTGGTTGCCGGAAAAATTGTCAACATTTATCAACATTTTTCAACGGGCAGCGGGACGTGTTTTGAGGCCAGGCCAAGCATCAGGCACCAAGCACCAGGCACCTCAAGAAACAGAACAGCGGACCAGGAATGGCCAAGAAAAGAAACTCTGGCCAAGACCGAGACTAAGCCAGGTCCAAAGTGTGCCAACACCTCTCTCGGCTTTGTCCGGACGTCGCGACGTCGCGTGGGAGTCCGAGTCCGAGTTCGAGTTCGAGTCCCATTGCGAGTGCGAGTCCGCTCCGCATTTTGATTAATATCCGCAACGTCAAGCAGCCGCTTGCAGGACGCCACAGCAACATCACGAACAGCATGGCAACATGTACACTTGGAAAAACACTTGAACATAATATAGAGAAAAGATGAAAGGAATTCTTAAAGCCTTTAATTCAATGTTGGATAGACACGGCTATGGCACATTTTTCAATTAGGTTTTAAATTTTAAGAAAAGAAGTTAATTCTAACTGGGCGAAATGCACAGGTAATTGTTGCTAGAAAACGGATGCCAGGAACATATTTTTCCCATTAATAAATATCGACAATTTAGGTGATACTTATTAAACTTAAAGAAATCTGAATACATTGCTTTTCAAACTCTTTAATAATAATTTTACTTTTTATACCTTATTTCTTCCTCTGCACTACTTGAAAGTTGCCATAGCTGAGCAACAATCGCAACAAGAAAAGATTCTGGCCCGTCGCTTCGTCCAGTTGCCTCTTGTGATTGTGAAAAGTGGTCACGATGATGACAAAAATTCACTAGCGAAATGAAAACAAAGTTGCCCGCCGCCTTTCAGCCAGTGTGTAGGAGGTGTTGCTTGTTGGCAACTCTCTCGGCAATCTGCACTACGCTTTCTCCTAAAAAGAACTTTCCCAAAAAAAAACATCACAACAAAAAGAAAGAAAGGAGCGCCTTGAATGCGGTTTATATTCCTTTGACTGGTTTATTTGATTTGGCAGGAATAAGCTGGAGAATTGTGAGAAATTGCTGGGGATTTGTGTGGGGCAAATTGAGTTTCGGGCTCTAGGAAAACAGCATTGTGGCAATGGTTGAGCGCAAAAAATTCTAATTATCTTATGGCGACTTTAGAGCTAAATTAATTAAGGTAAACATAAAGTATTTTGTGCCCTAAAACGGATCAATTTTCTAGCTAATCTGGGCCATTTTTCATTAGGAACCCTTAGAGCAGAGCACAAACAAGAAACAGTAACCCTAACTCACTCACACTCTCACTCTCTCTCTCTCTATCTAACACACACATAATCGCATTTTAAACTTTTTCAATAATAAAACTTTTCTAAACGGATTTCCCGCTGGACGCGTTGCGCTTTAATAATTTCTCCGTTTTTATCTCTTTTTTTTTATTCCAGGCAGCAGGCGGTTTTCAGCTGATGGACAACAAAGGACAGAGTGCATCGGAGCCATTAATTTAAATTGGATATTATGAGCGCACTAGCAGCGAAGACAGAAAGGTTAGTGAGCCCTTTCATATTTAGGGTAACCTACTGGGCCACTAAAGAATAAGTTATTTGATTATTTTAAACCTAGATAGAGGAAAAGCGAAGTCAAGTATAACTAAAAAAGTTACAATTAGTTAATAAATTAAGTTTTTGTTAGATTCATCTCAAAGTGGTATCCAAATTTCACACTATTTTAAATTGATTTAAACTTGATCTTTACTAACTTATATCTTTTTAATTCCCTCCCCCTCTAGCTCATGTACGACAAGTCCAAGAAATCGTGGAGTCAGCGGCTCAAGACGCTCGGCAGCGGTGACACTGTGGACAAGAACGCCTCTCTAGCGGCCGTCAGCGGGATGCAGGCCATGCAGCAGTTGCAGCTGCACATGCAGCACCAACACCAGCAGCACCAGCACCAGCAGCTTCAGCAGCAGCAGCAGCAGCAACACTTGCCCCACCATGGCCATCACCAGATGGTGACTGCCTACCAGCTGCCGCCGGTGCCCGGCGCCGAGTTCCTGCCCAGCGCCCTGTCGCGCTCCATGAAGTACGCGGAGCCCTGGATTTATGGAACTGTGAGGGGCATCCCTGCCCGACCCTCCTATGGGTATCATCCCCATGCGGCAGCCATTTTCGCGGCGGCCGAGGGTATGCCGGGGACCACTGCTCTGGCCGTGGTGATCTGCTCCTGTGCCGAGTACTTGAACGGCACGAAACGTGACGTGAAGAAGGCGAGCGTGTGCAAGAAGTGCAAGGGCTCCCGCCTGCCGCTGGCCAACATTGGAGGAGCAGCTGGGGGCACCGTGCGTCTGCCAGCTGTCAGCGGCAGCGGCAACGCATCCTCCTCGCGGCGACCCATGTCCGCCACGATGCGTGTGGTGAGCGCCACGAAGAAATCACGTCCCTCCATTCTGGATCCACAGAAGGATCCCTATGACCTGATGCGGCGCACGCGACTCCTGTCCCCGGAGCCAAGCTCCAAAGATGCGGACGGCAAGTCACGTAGCCGCAGTGAGCCGGCTGGGAATCCCACCAGGGGTCGCACTCGCACCCGGGCTCCACCGCCGCCGCCTGTCATGAGCTCCGTCCCCAAAGCGCCAGCCACTCCCTCCTCCCTAGTGGATCCCACGGACTGCTGGCTGATGGAGGACAACGAATCTCTGCTACAGAGCAGCGGCCTGGCATCCAGTAGGGCCTCCAACCGGCGATCCATCCTCCGATGCCACGTCAATCCCTATGACCTGATCTCAAGCGAACTGCAGCGGAACCTGAGGAAGCCCCACGACGACTTCGATGTGGCGGATGCCCAGCTCAACGACGATGCAGTGGAGCGCCAGCAACGAACCAGCAGCAAGTTTTACAGCGGCAACGTGACGGCCATCGCCGGCCAGCGGATTAGTCTGGGCGAGAAGGATGCCGCCGATCCGGGTGACAGCTACGAGCGAATTATGATAGCCTCTAGCGGAGATGCAGCGACGACCAATGGACCGCGACGCCCGCCGCGCAACAAGAAGATGGATGAGCCCGCGGAGGTAACAGTGGGAACTCCTGCAGTTGCAACTCTTCCAGCTGCTGCTGGCAGTGCTCCAGTTGCCAGCCCTCCAGCTCCAGTACCCAGCACAACTGCCACTGACGAGGAGGAGGAGGAGGAGGCCGAAGATTCCCCCTACACAGTGCTCACTGTGTCGCCCACGGAATCTGCTCTGAAGTCCATACTGAAGCGTCCCGTCACTCTGGACCTGTCTGTCTCGCCTGCGCCGCCACCGACGCCGACGGCTGACATTTCTGGCCAGGCAACGCCCTCGGGCAAGTCGCAGTTCTATATACCGACGCCAACGGGATCCCCGCCCCTGGACACATCAACACTCACGCCCACAGCCACATCCACACCCACTCCCACTGGAGGAGCAACCATCACGCCGGGCTCACGCAAAAAAGTGCAATTTATGGTCGAGGATAAAGTCATAGCCACGACTGTGACAGCGGCGACAACTGATGATGGCAGCGATGTCTGCGTTGCCGCCGCCACGAAAACCAACTACGAGTACTACAATCGCAAGCGAAATGCAGCAGCAGCAGCAGCAGCAACGTCGTCAGGAGCAGCAGCCACATCATCCGGCGCAGCAGCAGCAACATTGCCATCAGATCAGCAGGAGGCTGGAGCTGCTGATGAGCAGTATAACTTTACAGCTTCCGCGACAGCAAAGCCGGATAGTTTGCATTATGAAGATGTCGTTCCAGGACCCCAAATATTTGACAGCGGCGACAGCGTAGCTGCGTCCTCGAAATTATTACTGCCAGCCGTGGACGGCGGGTCGCCGCATGTCACTGTGAATCCTGTCAGCGCTCCGCCAACTGGTGAGTACTCAAAAAATCCCCCACACAGTTGACTTTTAATTATGAGCGGAAAGTTGCGACTTTGGCAAGGCCAGCAGTTTTTCCGCAGCTCCAGTTCGTTTCATTAGCTAACTGGCTTCCCAGTGCACTAGCCAAGAGTGGGATTAAATTATAGCTTCCAAGGACTCGGAATATAAGTATGAAACAAGGATAACTGGCTTTAAAGCAATATTTATTTTAAATAATAATCAGAAATTATAGATCTGAAATTAGAATTTATCAAAAGAATCTAGCTGAAACAAAGCTTATAGATTATAGTTTTCAAAGTCTGTGAATAAAAGTATGAAACAAGGATAAGTGGCTGTAAACCTCAACTAATTTCTATATAATCAGAGCTCTTCTTGGCCACAATTACTCTCCTCTACTAGAAAAAAAGAGTCTTTCACATTCGTTGTCTCCCATTTCAGTGTCATTATCTCTGGCATTCACTCACCCGCTGGACTCTGCGAGTGAAAATGAAAATTCTGCAATTGTTTGCTAATTGCTCATCATCACGGCACGGTCTACGGAGTTTGCCACATTGCACATTACGTATACGCAAAGTTGGCGACACTTTATGCATTATACAAATTTCCTAACAAGCATGAAAACGCTTTTGGCCAGATGAGGGGTTGTGTGTGGGCCAATTGAAACGACAGGCCGGCATTTGAATGCGACTGGAATGGAAGGGCGACCATATAGAGAGTATATATACTACTCGTATAGCAGTAGTAGTTGTAGGTTAGGGCCAGGGGTCGCACCTGGTGCCAGTTCACGCAGGGGTTAACACCATAATCAAGCATCTGGCGGAGAGCGGCAGTGGCAGCCAGACCCTTTGACACAGTCTCCCTGTCAACGGCACACGCTCTGCCGCCCACCCCGCCGGATGAGCCACCGTGCCACCAAGCCCCCTTCGGCACGTAGCAGCGCGGCAAACAAAACGACAGCTACAACTACAGCTGAAACGACTAGCAGGCCAAGTCAACGTGACATTTGCACCCACAAATGGCAGCGACGCACGGCGATATGTCACACAGAAAGAAATTTATATTGGCAAATATATTTGAATAACTCTAAGCGGGGAAATAAAGTGTTTCTGTGAAGTAAGAAACTACTTACCCACTGAAAACTATTTTTTTTTTTTATAGACTTGACAGATAGATCTCCATATCTTATACCCAGTTTCTTTGACTGCAGCGAACTATTCACATTCATAGTCGCATTCACAGTCCCTGTCCCTCCCCATATGCATTGCTCCTCCAGGTGGAGCTCGCAGAGGAGGCGTGGCACACACACATGTTCGACTTCATTCAAAGCAAATTAACAGGCGGCACACTGGGATAAAACGGCTGTGCAGCCGGAGGGAGCGGGACTCATAGACGGACAAAAAGTTTTCATTCAATTAAATTTCGACGGTGAAGAAAATCTTGTGTCCATCAGGGAATCGAGTTGAGTTCGGTTGAGTTGAACTCAACTAAAGTGAAAGGGTACGAGTATATATCTTTCAGGGTGGCTACATGGTTTGTGACCTGCAGAAATATCCTCGTATTAAAATTCAGTAATCATTAAATTATTTAATTGGATTTTTAAAGAGTAAAACAAAGATTTAAAAATGAAATAGAATCATTCAACAGTTAATTTTCTTTTATATTTATTGATAATATTTATTTAACTATTTAAGACCTTATAGGAATATTTTGTAGTAATTACAGCCAACACCCTTTGAATTCCTGCCCTAATAGCCTGTGTTACATGATCTCTTTATGTCCCCATTATTTTCCAAGCTCATATATTGTCAAGACCCTTACCACTCGCGACTGCCTTTGCAGTTATGCCAACGCATCGGGAATTTCACGGGCCATTCTTTAGACTTGTGGCTGTCTATTATGGCCCAGAGGGAACGGAGACAAAGGGAGAAGCCAAAGGAGCCAGCGGAGCCTCATAAAGGTGACATGGCGCCCACGTGTCTCCAGCGCTAGACAATTACAAAGTTCCTCCTTCGCCGGCTGCAATTTGTTGCATTGTTTGCCGCGAGTTAAAGCACTTGGAACTTTGCAAACTATTTTTGATTTGATTTTTGAAATTGGCTCGCCACGGGCGCTTAGTGATCCCACCTACCAGAGCCATCCGCCCACCAAAGCCGACCATATTCCAGGCGCATGGAGGAGCAGTGGGGACCGGGGACCGACGCCTCCCGAGATGATTTATGGCGCACGTGTTGCATTCACCGGGAGGAGAGAAAAAATAAAAGGAGACCGGGTCGCCAGACGGGCCAAATCGCAGTGAAAGGCATTAAAGTGATAGAGTCTGGCCGCTCGACGGTGAAATTTGCATTTTTAATGCCCCAACGCCAACGCCACTGGGCCAACTTTGAGCTTTTGAGTCATGGCCGTGGCCCGAACTCGCTGGATTATTAATATTTCATATTTGTCTTTGATAAGCGGAAAGTGCGGCCCGAACGAGAGTCCTGAAAATAGAATACTGTTTCACTTTTAATATGAATGGAAATTGTAATAATTCTGGAAAGGCTTTTGGGGGCGATGGAAAAAGTTATATATTCAGCTTGCCATTAAATCAATTGGTATTTGTTATTGAGGCAAAATGTAAACTCACATCGGAATTTACTGAAATTAAAGCTTAATGGGAAAACTTTCAGGTTTCTGTACATTAATTCAAAGAAATTTCTCATGAGATATAAACTTATACCAAATGTATAGCAATTACAGCAATACAAAATGTATTAATCCTTTAACATTGAACATATTCCTCAATCATATTACAAATTTCTGCAATTGCTTGCTAATTTCCAAAAACACAAAAGCTGTTTGCCTTTTAAATTGCAATAAAATATCAAATTAGCTTGATAAAGGGCCGAGAGCAGCATTTAATTGAGCAAATCATAAAATTATTTTGCTTTAGTTTGGAGGAGGCGTTGGCATTCAGCAACATTCGCAATTAACACGTTTCAAAGGAATATCTCCTGGGTGAAGGATATTAAGTCATTAGCATTTCTGCAATCCCTCCAAGCCCCTTTTATTTCGCATCGCATCGGTCCGGTCTGGTTCGGTCCGGTTCATTCAGTAGAATTTTCACTTTGCTTTTCTGCTCATTGCAATTTGCTTCACTAATGTTTCTTCTCTGTTTTCAAACGTCTCTCCATTCATTTAATGGCGCCTGCCTTAAATTTTCCCCGCTTTTCCCGCTCAAATGAAGTGTGAATGGGGAAAAGCGTTTTTGCTGGCACTGCTGCTTCTGTTGCCTGAAACGAAGCGATTTCAAATGAGATTTTTAAATATGGCCAGCAATTGTAATTCCGAATGCCAATAGCAGAAGCAGCAGCAACATCTACATCAGCAGCAGCAGCAGCAATAGCAACAGCAGTGGCAACAGCAGCAACATTGTTACATTTTGCATTTTATATTGCCATGCTCAGCGGAAGTTGAGCCTCATGTCTTCATGTACTTTGCATATTTACACTAATAGAAATTGTGGCAGGCAATTGAAAAAAGAGAGCGCCGCACAAACTTTTCCGGCTGGTGTTGCTTTCGAGTGATGGCCTTTAAAAAGAAGCTAGAAAAATCAGGAAATTGTACTGAAAAGGACACACACTCCAGGCATTTATGACAATTTTTTAAAATATTTAATAAATATTTCGTTGATTCTTTTTCCATAGAACTTGTCTAGAATTTTAAAATTATTTTTAAAATGTCTAGAAGTATTGTATTGCCTTTCTTATGTTAAATTTAAGACAAATCTACTGCAATTCTTGTGAAAAATCTTTAATTAATTAAATATACATTCAAAATCCCTCTCCCATCAAACAATTTCTTCTCATAAACCATACTTTTCTTATTCAATTCAAGAGATTTTAAACCTCCAGATATTCTTAAACATTTCTCCACCCAAGTCCAAGTGGGGAAAGGCCAGAATCTGTCTGGAAAATGGAGCAATTGGCAGCACTTTTGCGATATGTTGCCACTGTAGCTGTTGCTGCTGTTTTATGTGTGGCAATAAAAAGTGTCGCAGGCTGTTGGGGGCGGGGGCGGGGCCAGAGGGGCCAGTTTTACGGCTCTGGCTCTGCTGCTGCACAGTTGCTGCTGCTTCTGCGGCTCTTTCTCTTCCTCCGCAGTAGCTGCTGCGGCTGTTTTATTGTTGCGACAACAGCAGCAGCAGTGGCAGCAGTGGCCTGCATTGGGTGCTAGTGTTAGTGTGTCCAGGGTTCGGCCATTCCTCAAACTTAATATATCCTGTTTCCTGATTTTCATGACGTACTCGGGTATGGCCCCTATAAGTGCCCAACAAGTTCTCCCTCTCCTTCGCTCTCTCGTCCGCATTTTCTTGGTTTTCCCTGGGCTTTCCACTGGCCATGTAACCCTTCACCCCGTCGCTTATGCTGTGTGCCATTTTCTGCATTTAAGTGCAATTCTATGCAAGAATGTGCCGACATGCATATTTGTGCTAAAGCCATTTCCCAGCTCTCCTGGCTCGCTTTTCCAGGGGCTTTTCCCCCCCTTGAGCACCCATAAAATGTTCGTTTTGCCAGCTAATGCATACAAATGTCTGATGCGCTTTTTGCATTACAACAAGAACAGCAACTACAAGTGAAGGAGAAAAAGAAAGCCAGGGAAAGACAGCTAAACAACAAACAGAATGGCAAAGCCTAGGTATATGTATGTAGTGTGGTGTTTTTGTGTGTGTGTGTGTGTTTGTCTCGGGACATTCCCTTTCAAGTTGGCATTCGAAAAAATCGCATCGAATCTTGGCCAAAAACAATCAGGAAGAAAACGACACCTAAACATTCTCGTTCACTCAACTTGAAAGCAGCAAAAAAATAGACATGAGGATGGGAAGTGTAGAAGCTAAGAAGGTAAATCTTCTAAGACTAGCCAGGCTTCTCTTTAATTAATGAGTAATAAGGGAAGCAATTAGCATTTAGTCAAAGGTTTTAGATTTAGGTACAAAGATAACTTTCCAGCAGTTAC